ATAATATATAATATATAATATATATATATATATATATATAATATATATATATATATATATATATATATATATTATATATATATATATATAGATATAGATAGAGAAGATAGAGATAGAGAGAGAGATAGAAGAGAGAGAGAGAGAGAGATAGAGAGTGAGAGAGATTTAGCAACAATAAAAATGTAAGATTAGGAAAACACATCAGTTTTATTAACAAACACCTTAGAACACTGCTCCATTAATTAATTTAATCACACACACGCGCACACACACACCAAGGTACTCTTGCAATGCCCGCCCCCCCCCCCAATTCCTCCCTTACTTCATTACAACGTTCCTGAGCTACTGATCCATCTGCATAATGTTGACTGTCCCCTCATTCGGAGAATTAATTAATCCGCTAAACTACCACGTCCCCGACTAAACAATGCAAATACGTGAGTGGCTGTCGTGACGACGGAGGGGGGTGGCTTGGAGGGAGGGGGCGGAGGGAGGGGGGGGTGGAGGGGGAAGGGAGGGAGGGAGGAGGAGAGATGAGTAGAGAGGGAGGAGGAAGGTGATGAGGGAGCATGGGAAGAACTGACGATGGTGAGAGAGAGGGGGGAGGGTGAGAAAGCGAGAGAAAGAAAGGAGAGAGAGAGAGAGAGAGAGAGAGAGAGAGAGAGAGAGAGAGAGAGAGAGAGAGAGAGAGAGAGAGAGAGAGAGAGAGAGAGAGAGTCCACAACGTTCCGTCTCGCAGTCCCTCGAGTCGGTTACTGCACAAAAAAACAATAGCAATCTTGTCGCTCGGAGTGAGGGGAAAAGCCTCGTAAACGCCAACGATAAATTCTGGTTGGTGTTTAGCCCTGGCGTTGTAGAGTGGGGCATGGGAGGGGGTAGGGGGAGAGAGACGTAATCGTGGCTACTCCTTACTCATCCTTATACAAATCGTTTAAAAAAATGTTTATCATAACACAACTTTCCCTCTTTACCGAAAGTCAAACGCACGAACTAAACCCATGCGTCCCCTCGAAACACAGAACATTCCAAACCTGCACCAAAAACCAACCGTCGCCGCATGCGTGCCAGTGCAAATACCACCGTGCGTGTGCGAGCGCTGATGAGGCCCCAGAATTGCATAGCTTTACAGCGTCCTTCCCGAGCATGCTGTAGCCCCGTGAGAGTAAACAGTGCAGTACACTTTGTGCTCCCTTGACGACCCTCCCGGACACTAATAGGAGAGGTTTCGTGGTCAGCGCCACACGCAAGCACGACTTATTCTCGGACTTGTGCTTGGAAACGGAAAAGCTTGAGTCAACGGAGAGAGAAGGAGGTGGAGGGGAGGAGTAAAAGAAAAGGAGATACAAAAAAAAACGAATAGCACGAAGCAGAAAGGAGAGGGAGAGGGAGAGGAAAGGAGAGGAGAGAGGAGGGTAGGAGGTAGAGGAGAGGGAGAGGGAGAGAGGTAGAGAGGGAGAGAGAGGTAGAGAGAGATAGAGAGAGAGAGAGAGGAGAGAGAGAGAGAGAGAGAGAGAGAGAGAGAGAGAGAGAGAGAGAGAGAGAGAGAGAGAGAGAGAGAGAGAGAGAGAGAGAGAGAGAGAGAGAGAGAGAGAGTAGACGTGAGAGCAAAGATTCCTTCCGGACCACAAGACCTCTATTCCCACCTACCCACAAGCCCAACCCTCTCAACCTTCTTTCCTATCAAAAATACATCTACTTCTTCCCTTTCGCGCTGCGGCTAAACGCTCTAAGCCTGAGTAGCAACTACGTTTCCAGAAGTTCACATGGACTCCTATTAAGTCACTCGACCCTATTCACTCGTCGTCGACCCTATTACGTCACTCGACCAGGGGGGAATGGCAGCCCGTTTTGGACCCCCCACCCCCACCCCCCACCACGTTTTCGCGTTTCATCGCCTGACAGCATGAACCGGGGGAAAGTAAAAATGGGGGGGGAAGTACGTAAAAGTTGGGAGGAAAAAGGGTTAAAGGAAAAAGGGTGGAAGGACAGAAAGAAAGGAGAGAGAGAGAGAGAGAGAGAGAGAGAGAGAGAGAGAGAGAGAGAGAGAGAGAGAGAGAGAGAGAGAGAGAGAGAGAGAGAGAGAGAGAGAGAGAGAGAGAGAGAGAGAGAGAGAGAGAGAGAGAGAGAGTGAGGAGAGATGAGTGTGTGTGTAGCCGTGCCGTGAGCGTGTCTTCTGCATACACATACACGTCACTAAGAATTTTCCAACACAATCTGACGTGACACGAACCGGTCAATCAGCAAAATCAATGTCTCTGACATCCAGGACCACGAACACAGTCGCACACACTAAGCAAATCTAATCAAATCGCTCACTGGAAATGACGTTACAGTATATGAATACACACGCATACGCCTGCGCACGCCCAAAATGCATATATACACAAATACACGAACACACGCACATACACACAGACACAACACACACACACACACACACACACACACACACACACACACACACACACACCACCACACACACACACACACATCTTGTACCCAAAGTAAAATCCCTATTATTTCCTTTCTTGAATCGATCCTTATTCATGCGATGCTAGATCGCCAT